TATTAGGCAGGAAATTAGCAAGCATTGCCACAACTGCCTATGGAATTATGCGCAATGGTTGACATTGACAGACTCTAATGTCGTCCTCCTTAATTAGTCTTATATCTGTCTGACTCTTTGGATGCTATTTCACATCTTTGTGTCTCTTTTCATACTGTTCCCTTCACATGCAATATTTTCCTTTTCCTCTGTTCTCTAACATCGGCCTCTTACCCATCCTTTAAAACCTTGTTAACCATTCTTTAAGCACCACCTAATGTGCTACTTCCTCCGTGAAGACATCTCGGAACTTTTCAATGGATCTGATCACTCCCATCTTTGAACCCTCACACAACTGATGTAAAATAAACTTCGCAAATACCACCTTCATCATGTCATTTTCTACTCTAAACCTTCAATGTCTCCTTATTTTCTCATGAAAGAGATAGTGGCAGGGCACCAAGAAAGTCTAGTTCTTAAGAAAACATTGTGATATGGAGATATGTTAAATTAATTAACATATTGTTAAATTAATTAACAAATGTTGAATTAATTAACATTTGTTGACTCGGTCAACGAATAATTATTGAGCTCCAATTATGCACCAGGCACTGTGCTAGGTTCTGGGGACATTTAAAAATAAGAAGCTATCAAAGCAAATGTGATAGTTTCCTTCTGATTCTTTTGTTAGGACTTATTTATTATTTTTAATTTTTTTTTCTCTTAGTGCTTGTTTGTAGTCATGCAATAACAAAATCAAAGATTCCAAGAAAACATGTAAGTGTGTGACTTGTTTTGAATCAAGGAAATTTGCTGCTTAAATTAAACCACAATATTTTCCCAATTTATATAAAAAAAGTAATTAATGGGGAAAATATGTCTTTAGGACTTTTACAGATTTTCTTAGAATCAGTGACTAGAAAATCACTTCAGTGAGTCTAAACTCCATCCTCTTCAATGTTCCTTCAAATATATATATTCTCAAAAATTATATTTTCCCTTTATTGGTTAGGCCCTCTGCACTTCAAATATCAATTCCATGCTGAAGATCTCAGAATATTTATGTCTAACACCAGACTTCTCTTAGTTTCAAAACTAAATAACCAGTGTTCTGCTAACATTCTTTTTCAAGTCAATAGGAAAAAGACCAATTTCCCACCTGAAAATGAGTAAAGATTGAGAGTAGAAATGCAGAAAAGAATTGAAAATGGTGAGCAAATATATGAAAAAATATCAACTTATCAAAATTCAAAGAAATATGTGTTAAAACAAAAAGTAAAATACTATCCCACCCCCCCCAATAAATTGATGACATTTTAAAGAAAATGCAATATCAAACAGAATATCTAATGTTTGATGGTAGGAAGGTATAGAGAATAGAGATATCGTATATAACTTTTGGGAATATAAATTATGAGAAATGGAACATACAGACAATGGCCAGACCAGATATAAAAACCAAACTCTGACCAACAGTCTGCAGCAACCTACTCAGGAAACTAACCCTTCAACTTCAATAACCAGCCCAGGAAGGAGGCCTGCTGTAAGGCAGACTTGCAGGAAGCCAGACTGCTATCTCTAGTAACATTCCAGGAAGTTAAACAAAAACTTCTGTAATAATCAGCCCAAAGTGACCAGGACTTGATTAATATAAAGAAGAGCTTCAATAATTTTTATCCCCACTTCCGATTTAGGACCAACCTGAGAAAGCTAAATATGCACCCCTAACCAATCATACTGGATGCCCCCTCCTAATTAGTCCACCTAAAGCCTCCAATCTAGGCACATCTGAAGCCTTCATGTTTTACACAATAAAGCTTTCCCACTCCTGCTGTCTTTGTGTCTCTGCCCAAATGTAAGTGATGGTGGCTGATTTTCTTGCTAGAGCAGGTTCTAAATAAAATAGCCTTGGATTTACTCATTTGGTTGGTCTATATTTCTACAATTGATACCACCTTCTACTAAAGCATCTGCCAAAATTATGTGTAGGAATATTAATTATATATAATCATAGTATGAATTAAAAAGAATTATGGTATTTTCATAGAATGCAACTTTAACGTGCACCATTAAATCATGTTTTTATAAAACATTTTATAATGTTATGGAAAATGACCTTGAAATATGACTAAGTGAAGAAATCTGATGACAAAACTTGATAATATAATTTTTGTTTAAAAAACTTTAAATAAACACAAAGAGGGACGGAGGGAGAGAGAGAGACAGAGAGAGAAGAAATATATCCAATAATGATGATATGGAGGAAAAAATTATAAGCAGCTTTTGAATTGTATTTTTTTGTATTTTTCCAATTATCTATGATAAATATGCATTATTTTTGTAATTAGAAAAATGTTCTTTAAAAAAATCTAGTGTGCTTGTTTAGAGAAACTTTCAATAGGCTGTGTCTCAAAATGACATCTAGACCATTAGAAGGTAACAGGTTTCAGAGGGTACAGATTTGAAAATATAAACTACGAAATAAGCCGCGCTGTTCCAAAGTTGCTAAAAACAACAAATATTTTAGCTCTTTGTGAGAGAAAATTAAGGAAAGGTTAAGACCATTGCTTGTAGCCCAGTAGTGTAATGTGGTGTAGCTTTCCTAGTCACTGGCTATCAAGCAATACCATTAGATTGAAAAAGGTAGCAATCGAAGAAGGAATAGAAGCTAAAGACTGAGAAAAGAAATTTTAAAGTACCACTTAATTATAAGGAATGTAAGGGTGACTTTTTTTACCTTACCTTTCCACTTTGCTGATTTTTTGAATTTACTAAATTTAGAAATTCTGTCTTATAGTGGAAAATGTTGAAGCCATTCATATTGTTTAAACAATGAAGTAGGTTGTTACTATGAATAAATGACAATTTATTGAGTTAATAAACCGTTTCAGGTCTAAATAACAAATTTATAAGACACATCTGTAAAACCAGTGAACCACTTTACAGATGTCATGGTTTAAGTCTGATTGAAGCCTATTCTCAGTATTAGGTGCTATAGATTGTGAATGAGAAGTTAACTATTAATATCTAGCTCTATAGCTTGAAGGTGGGAAATGTGAACTGATGATGTACAAGAAAAAAAATAAGTGTTTTGCCAGAGAATGAAAGACTGTCAGGCTGAACACTTCTCAAACTTTAATCTAAATATTACCTGGGGATATTATTAAAATCTGGATTCTGGTTCAGTAGGTTTCTGGAGAGGCCCCAAGTTCATTTCTAACAAGCTCTCAAGTGATATTGATGCTGCTGGTCTGTGAGCCACAGTGTGAGTAGCAGGAAGCTAGGGGACATTCTAGATAAGGGAGCCCAAAACTTCCATTTCATATTAGAAAACTTGGGGTGTGAAGGTCATATGTGAATTTCATCTTGCGCATGGGCCTATCATGAACCTGCTTGCCTCTAGTGGGTTTCCTCTAATTCATCTTTTCATAACTGTGTTTCTTCACCTTTCCAGCTTGTCCAAAAGGAAATAATAATAGATCCAATGCTCATCATATTTTATTATAGTCAATACAGAACACTGAATGGAAACAGACTTGGGGAATCCAGAGTCTCTGACGTTACATGAGCAGAAAAGAATCTACAGTGAACTTTGGCTACATCTTCATTCAGGCCCATTAGAGGTTTATGGGTAGGTCTATCTCAAAATGAAAAAAGGGAAATTTACAGTTTTTGAGGAGTCAGAAAAGTAGAGGGTCTAGGCTTAGTTCTTTTTCCTATGGAGACTTGACTGAGGGCTTCCACAGTCTCTTTGTTCTGTGTAAGAGTCTTTGTGGAAATTGGAGCCCTTCATGAATAATATATTGGTCCTGGGCTGCTTTGCAAGAGATGATCTTAGTGCATTGGGTGATTGGCTATGGATATCTAAATGCCTTGGGGTTGGCCTGTCTACATTCCCTTGTGACTGACTGATCAGCAGAATGGAAAAAGTACCCCAGTGAGGCTTGGAGGAAGAGGATAGAACTAAGGCTATTTAAGCCCTGGGGAGAAGACAAGTGTCTTATATGAGGTCACCCTGGCCATGGGAATCATGGGTTGAGTAGGTTACTCCTAGAGAGGTATAGAGTGTTAAGTCTATGACTTCCTACTAGGTCAGAGTTAATAAGCACAGGGAGTCAAAAAGGGTATTTTAGCACGTCACGTGTTGCCATTTGTGATGGGCCTTCTGCTAGTTACTAGCTACTAAAGATGAGGGGAAAGAGGAAAATGCCTGTCTTTGTACAAGATGCTGCAAATTCCTGAGGATTAGGAAAGAGAGTTCAAAATGCCCAGAAACATGGAGAGATCATTCATTCTCAAGGATGCAAGTAATGCAGTGGTTTTACATATTTTTACCAAGGACAAATTTTTATTCTATCTCGAATATTTGCCTATAGAATATATTCAATAAAAGTTTAATAAATAACTTAATTAAACAACAGAGAACTTTTTTAATGTCAGTGTCCAGATGCCGGAAGAAGATGTCAACTTAAAGAAACAAGGAGTAGGAACTAAACAGATATTTTTTTGGAGTATAAATTGTTCTTTGATTCTCTTCTGCAAAGATTGCTTTCTATTCACTTAATATACTTAAAAAACAAGGGCAAGAACACTTAGACTAAGCAGCATTTGATAATCGAGTCTTTGGCATCAAATGAGGCTAAATTTGAATCCTATTACTGTGTGTCATTAGCTGTGTGATCTCTAAGGCACGGTGTTCTCTCTAAATGGAGATAGTAGTAGGGAGTGCTGGGAGGATTAAATGAGATAATTCATTCAAAATTAAATCCAGGGTCTAACACATAGTAAATATTAACAAATACTATAATAATCACACAAAAAAATAGACCAACAATAGAATAAAACATTTACAATGGTTATGTTCAGATTCTCCAAAGCATAATTTCATGGAGCTTGCAGGTTTGAAAGCAGAAACGAGGTCCAATAGCCAGCCTCACCATCTAGAAAAGACGCCCAGCTCAGATGCGGCTAAAACTACATTTCCCAGCAGTCCCTGGGCCCCAGCGTCCTGTTTTCCTTCAGTTCCGGGTCTGTCACGTGACTCCTCGTCAGCACTATGGCAGAAGCAGAGGAACAGGTAAAGGCTGCAACTGCTGGGAGAGAGAAGGTGGTTGGGGGCTCGAGATGGAGCATGTGGAGGTGCGAAGCTGCTGGAGAGCAAGGCAGGCCCACAGCGGGGCTGGCGGGCAGTGAAAGGCCATTTCGGGAGCAGAGACGCGGGTGGGATACCTGCTCTTGGAAGGCAGAAAGCCTACCGAAACCCGCCCCCGGCGATCGTGAGGCGGCCCCCTTTTTTTTGGCGGGCGGTAGGGGTCTTCCCCTGTGACCTGTGCTCAGTGAAATTTTTGCTTGAAGGTAGCGTGGGCTCCCAGGGATTTACTGCCTATGAGAGGCATAAGAGATGACATTTGAGTTTTGAGGCCAAATGACTGAAATTTAAATTCCTTTCCACTCGGTGTAGGATAGTGAGAGTGGATTTGCAGAAGGGCTGGGAGAGGAGATGATGAATTGTGTTTCGTATCTGTTGTATTTAGATACAAAGCAAAGCCACTATGGTAGGTTCTCTTTCTTAATATGGCTTTAGGCTAGTTATTTAACTTTTAAATACAAGATGAAGAAGTGCCGTCCTTCGAAGGTGGTTTTAGTTGAAATGAATTAGTACACAAAGTCAAAGTGTCTAGTAAAAATTTGGCATAGTAAAAGATACGAGGCATTATTTGTTGCTTGTAGGACATCAGATGGCAATGTCCAGTCAGCACCTAGCAATGTGGCACTGGAGTTTAGGGTAGAAGGTAATGAGGCAATAGTTATTTTCATACAGGCAATAGTGGCAGTCAGGCATTAGTTGAAATGACAGAGTATCATAAAGGACACAAAAAAGAGTAGACAAAGGCTAGAACCTGGGGAACTACCTTTATTTTCCATTAACAGGGTCATTTCAGCTTGGCACTGTTTTTCCTCACAAATTAATGGGGCCATCAGTTTCCAAAATTGCCTCTAAGCAGGGATTTGATGATGAGCTGTTTAGTACCACAATAACAGAAGTTTACCTAGTTTATAATTTGTACCATTTGCAACATACTTCATTTGTATAATGAAAATTTGCCCTGTGTACATTTGATTTATGCCAATAATTAAGAAATAAGTTAGATATTTGGTTTGGGTGCTTAATTGTGATAACAGAAGAGTCTCCTACTTACCACAGGAGCCTCCCTTTTCTGTTCATGGCAGTTCAAAGGAAAATGCTCATTGACATGTAATTTCATGACTCATTGCTGGGTTTGATGATAGTGATGAAATTGGTTTTCATACTGTTCATCTTTCGTGTTGAAATACAGCTTTTTGGTGATTTGATTTAAGAGCAAAAAGAAAAACTTAACATTCTTAGATATAAGGTAGTAGAAATGGAGACAGTTGCTTTTTGTATTTACTATTTTGTGCAGGAGAGGAGTTTGACAAAGCTGTCTGATGTAGAAAGACATGTAGAAAGTTAGTGATAAAATTAGGATGATTTGAATTTTACAGCATTTTTCAGTTTTTACTTTGCATTTGGTCCTCACAGAAGAATTCTGTGTGGCAAATGTTTTTTTCTGATATGTAAGTCAGGACAAGCACCTATGTTCCAAACCTTCCAATGGCTTCTCATTGCACTCTGAGGAAAAGCAAGAGTCCTTGTAATAGCCTGGTTGCCCTACAGGGCCTTGCCCCCATTTCTCTGTCCCCTTTCTCTGACCTCATTTTTCACTGCTCTTCCCTTTTATCACTTTGCATCAGCTCTACTTGCTTTCTCTAGCTTCAACAAGACTGGCATGTTTCTACCTAAGGACTGTTGTTCTGCTGCTCCCTTTTTTGACCCCAGATATCTACAGGGCTTTCTCACCCATTTCCTTTCATGTCTTTGTCCGAGTGTTATCTTTTTGAGTGAGACTTTCCCTGACCATTCTATGAAACCTCTTTCCTGCATTTTTCTCCTTAGCGCTCATCTTTATTTTTTCTGTCTCATCTTTATTTATTCTGTATGTTTTTGTATATTCTTCCCATTAGAATGGAAGCTCCACAATGGCAAGGATTAGTTCACTGCAGTATGTCTGACAACTAGAATAGTGCTTGACACTCAGTATGTGTTAGCAGTGAATTTTGCAGATAAATAAATTGAAATTCAGACAACTTAAGTAACTTCCTCAGACTTATATCTATAATAAATCCCATCTTCTCTCTTCAAAGCTATGGTTTTTCACTAGAACATCCTGCCTTTTAAAAAATACTTAAGAATGTAATTCTAAATTATTTTTTTACTTTATGAATAGAATTAGCCCTTATCACCTTCTTAAATTTCCTTCACGTCATCATTTCATCTTTGATGTTTTAACTGCCAGCATATGGTTAGAGCAGGCATTCACTCCTCCCTCTTAGTCTGTGGTGTCAGTGTCATTTTCAAAAAGACCAGTAGCCTATTATCAATAGCAGAAAGGAGCAAATATTCACAAACTGTTGTTCTGTTTTTAAAGAAATTTTGTAAATAATTGTACCTATATTATCAGCCCTTTTTCAATTAAAAATGGTTAAACTTTCTCACTGTGCTTTGTGCATTTTGCATTAAATATAGTAGGCCTTTATTAAAGTATTTGAAGGCTGAAAGTATACAAAAGTGAGTTAAATAAATTTTCTCATTGTTCTGTTCTGATACTTTGAGCTTTTTAGAAAATCTTGACATAATTTTTCCCCCCTGAATGCTTTAAGAAGTGAGATGTGTTTTAGAAGTAACTACGATGACAGGTTATGGCAGAGGAAGATTTTTTTCTTAGCACCGTGTACTGTGAATGCAAACAGCCCTTCATGATGAGCAATACAGAAGTAAACCTCTCTTCTTAATTTTCCTAAGCATGGTGTTCTTTGGTGATTGCTTTATCTCCCCTCCCCCCTTTAATTTTAGGAAGAATCAAAATAGTGAGATGTGTACTAAGTGAATTAACGTAAAACAGTTCATAGACCCTCAAACCAAAAGTCACTTTTTGGATATGAGTGAACATTTTCTAAGAGTTATTGAGAGCTCTTTGTTTATGCTGAGTGTGGTAAAGGTAGTCCACAAAAATAACTACACGTATGTTATATAGTTCACAGGAAAAGTTAAGATCCTGCGTTCTGCCTGGAAATCTTCTAAACAGCAGTTTTATCTAGCACCAGAAAGATTTATAGTTGACCTTCATAATCATAGATGCCCAACAGTATTTGTCCAGACGTCCCTTATGAATAACATTCTGCTTGAAGTCTGGTTGTTTGTGTATTTGTCTTATCTCTACTACAGATTGCTGAGTCCTCAAGAATAAGGACAAGAGCTTACTCATGTCTGTATCTCTCACAGGGCTAGTGCTTTATAGGTCCTAGGTGCTTAATAAAGTGTTTAAATTAATTTATTAGGGAGAGACTGGCCTTCTCAATTGAAAATGTCAAATCGTAAGGTTCAGTAGAATTTGTGTTGGCCTTTTAATTTAATTGAAACTTTTGAAAGTTATTAATTCATATGTGTTGTAGAATACATTCCCTGCACTCCTCATTCTGCCAGCTCCCCAGGTATCCTGTCATCTTTCCTACCAGACAGCAGGGAACCTAGTCCATTAAAATTTTTGGTCAATCAGACCATCTATTCCTTAACCAAATTGGATAGTTTACTTTTTGAATTCTCCCTCTTTGTTTTAGAAATTATGGAAATTCTGTCTTTATTGTAGAGCATTTACGGATTATCAGAGGCACATTCATGAGCATGTATATTCCTATGTCGTTGTGCCCCATGTGTAAAAGAAAAGTCAACAAATATTTGAGTGTTTTCTTGCCTGAAAGTTGAGGATTTTACTCTCCAGGACTCTTGTATAACATGAGATACAGCATTTTAAAGTGGCCAAATTGAAATGGTTGTCTTATAAAGAGGGCAACGATTTATCATCCAAATGTGGGTGTATCTTAGGGATGCACGATTCTCATTTCTTACAGTTTGGCCACGTCAGAGCATTTAAAAGCAACTTTACTAATAACGAAAGGAAAAACAAAGCCCCAAACAAGAAGTTGCAAAAGCACAGGATCAGAGAACTTTTTAGAGGGCCTATTCTTTACCATCATTTAACTAAAGTATAGTCACAAGTTAGCTTAGTTGGACATGCTTATTGCCTTGTTAGTTTTTCCTTTCATATTCGTGTGGGTTGGTTGGCTAGAGGCTGATGTCACTAGCCGATTTTTAGTAGCATTCTTAGCACCCATATTACCACCTTGGAGAGGGAGCGCTCGTCAGATCAGAGGCTTCTGGGTTTCATGCAGCTACCCATTCATGGCTGCTCAGTCACAGTTGCTTTTTTGTCTTCTAGGTACTTGGTACTTTTTATGTTTTTGTTACCAAATGCTTATGATTCTAGGCTCTTATTTATAGCTATGTAGCTGAATCAGAATATTTGAAATGGAGTGTATTAGCCAGTTCCTCAAAGTGAATTTAGATGGTTCCAATGCAAAGTCAGATTTGGGATTGGGTCACTAAGTCACCAAGGTGGGGCAAGTATTAAGGTTTTTCATTACTTGCAGAATATGACAAGTGTGGTGGCCGGTAGCTGAGGCTAGTGGATTGAACATGGTTAGTTAACTGAGTCTTCTTGCTCCTGCTAGTTCCCCAGGTATTCTTTTATCTTTCCTACCCAACCAGCCTAGTCCTTGGGTACCCAAAACCTTTTTGAAATTGAGGCTCTGTAACACAGGGATATCAAGTACATATCACAAAATACTTCCTCTTTCCTGTGCCTGTGTCAGACATTGGGAGCTATCATGCCCTCTCTTCCATTAAATTCTGTTATGACACATGGGTTGCTGGGAAGGGAGAGAAGGTGGCAGTACAGCCTTGAGTGTTTCCTGTCTTATCTCCAGCCCAGTCTGATTCCTGGGGCTTGGTCTGTGTTCTGTTTCTTCATCCTGTAGAGTTTGGAGCTGTTTTTTTTTTAGGCTTCAGCCTCTCATTTTCCACCAAATTCTGTTCTCCTCCCCAACAAACTGTGTATACTCTCAGAATTCTGAGGGCTTTACAACCCAGGAGGTCCTGGCTTCTCTTTCTTTCTGGACTGACAGCCTTCCTGACCCCTCTGGCCTCTGAGGCCAGCTGTGCTGAGTTGTGTTCAAGGCCACTGTTCTGGGCTCTCTGCTGATGTTAGGATTAGGGTTGGGAGTAGGTTGAAAGCCTTTATTGGAGGAGTCTTCTGAGAGCTCAATTAGCACCTTTCTTGGGCTGCTGCTAGGTGATTAACATTCTGTCTGAATAGCTCTATCCCTGTTTTTTGCTGCCTTCTTCCAGGCTCCTTTCTGTAAGTGTCTCCTAGATAGGAGCTAATAATTCCAGCATCTGCCTAGAGAAAGTCCACTTGGTATTGCTTGTTAAGTGGAAAAGAAAAGTAATATGTAGAGGAAGGAAAATGTTACTGTTTTAGATCAGCTGCTTATTTCTTATCATCATCACCAGAAAATGAGTGTTTAGCTCTTCCTTTGGGTAGTATAGTGGGGGGACAAAGAGGCAAAACCTTTGGGTTTATCCACAGTGTATTTTAAAGGATAACCATTAGGATAAGGCTGTTAGTATTTGGTACCAGCTGAGGGGTATAGGAAGATAATTCTATTTTAGGAAGATAATCCTGATAGCAGTTGATGAATAGATTCAGGGGATTTCATGTCAGGGCACCAAGATCATTAGGTTTAGATAGATGGTTGAGTTTAAGGATTGATTTGCAAAAGAAAGGTAAAATGAAACAATTGTCTAGTTTAGCTTTTAGCCTGTTGCCCAGAATTCGTTCGGTGTACATGTGTGTCACTGGGTACCTTCTAGCCCATCATTTTTGTTTCTACCAGAACATCACAATTTTTTTTATTGTGGTAAAATATACATAACATAATATTTACCACTTTAATCATTTTTAAGTTTGTGATTCATTGGCATTAGGTACATTCATATTGTGCAACCACTGTCACCACCCATCTTTAGAACTGTTCATCATCACAAACTGAAACTCTGTACCCATTAAGAAATAACCCTTCATCACTCCCTTCCCCAGCCCTCCTAACCTCTGTTCTGCTTTCTCATATAAAAGGATACTACAATATTTGTGATTTTTGTCTGGCTTATTTCACTTAGAGAACAGCACAATTTTATAACTTATATTTTCATAATTCGAAGTTAGATTCTTTGAAAGATAGAGTGTGAAATTAAAAAATATTTGAAAACCAATGACTCTAAATTGTAATAATTGTAACCTTTCTCAAGTTTTCTTGCCTCTTGGATCCCTTACTGGGGATGTTTCAGGTCATGTCTTGTTTGCCTGTCTGTCTCTAGAGCATTAAGCAGAGAGACTTGATGAATGAATGAAACTAAGAAATAACAGAACTGGCTAATTCTCGAAGTCATTCATGCATTGCTTTGGTAGGATTGTGGGCAAATTCACAGCTATGTTTGGGAGGTTTGTGCTGGTGCTTAGTGCTTAGGATAAGTCTGAGAGTGTTCTGGGGAAATGTTCTTGATTGATACCAGCATCCATGGGAAGTGCCCCTGAAAGCCTGGTTTTCCCTGAAGACTCAAGTTTCTGAGGTCTGCATGCTTTGAAGTGTCAGATTCTGGCACTGCCTGCTTTACAGTGAGAAGCAAGAGTATAATTTGGTTTAGAGTTTGGGGATTGAAATTGTTGGATGGGGACTTATGTTTTTGTTTTAATCAAGAATGTAAGTGGGATATTTGCCCTTTACCCCTCGTGCATATTTGAATGAATTCTAAATAAGAAAAAAAGTTTCTTAGGTTTAATGTAATTTTCTGAAAAGATAGTTAAGTGTCTTTTTAGAGTTCTGGAGTTGGGGAATAGGAATGTGTGTGTGGTTCATTGGCACAGTTGTCAAAGCCTGTTTTTGCTAATACTGATAACTTAATATCAAGGACTGTCAGGGATGGTAAGGATGTTAGAAGTTCAGCCTCTAAGCCTCAGCGTTCTTATCTCAGGGGTATTTAGGAAATTTCAAGATGCTACCAGTAAAGCATTTAGCATTATGGTAATATATATAATAGATAGATAAAGATAAAGATGTCAGAATAGTGACTGTTATTAAGTGGCGTGTGACCAAAAGAGAACGATCAGGATGGTAAGTGGACTAAAACCTTGAACTGAAGCTAGTTAGCACAGAGTAGAAACAATTTAGAAGGGTAGGCATGATATGTGTCATTAACTCTCTGGGGAACTATGAAATAGTAGTAGAATAATTGGCTTTTTAATGTATCATGTTGGTGATACCAACATAAAGTTACTGTGGATAGATTGTAGCTCCAAATTAATAATAACTTCCTAATACTTAGAGTAACATTAAACTAAGTAGGCTGCATTGGAATGTAGAGGAGGTTCTCATGTTCATCATGGTTAATGATATAACTACAGTAAAATAATTACATGTAACTTTCATCTCCATTTTACAGATGGCCTTTGAGAACTGGGACTGTATTGTTCACAAGGCTGATCCCCAGGCAACCTGTGCCACCTGCCGTGTTCTTAGTGATTGTCCATGAACAAAATTAAAATGTTTTCAAACACCAGATTTGTATTTATCCTGCTATCCAATTTGCATTGAGTAATATATGCATCTAACTTTCTTTAAAATGTTCATTTTTTTTTCTTGAAAAATATTAGTTATATCTAAAATGTCCCTTTTTTTTTGTTTTTCTTTATCTTGTGGATTGTAAAATACTTACATTCAGTGTCAGCATATTAGTTGTAACCTTTTATTGCTATTGATATCTATAAGTACGTTAAGTAAATCTTCATTTTGCTGACCTCTTTGAGGATGCGTGGCATCAGCACATTCTCCCTTTCAGTGGACAGGTGAGAGATTAGCAGGATCAAGTCAATTTTTTTTCCTTTTTGCTTTGTTTTTTCCAGAGCAGCAAGATTCATTATCTAGCAAGAGGAAAACTGTGTTAAATGGCAGAATTTGTCTTCCAGTTAATGGTTTAAAGAGTAGATGTAAATTATACAGCTTGTTTGCACACTGTCTGATACGTACCACTCGAGAAGAATTCTTTTGTAAGAGCTGTTTAAGCAAGACAATCATTTTAATTCAACCAGGTTAATAGCATAATAATTAATAGCACAAGAGCTTTTCATTATAAAAATTGGCTTATAGATAATTTGAGATGGCAATTTCCTCTTCCCTTCTGAGATTAGTAAGGCTGCTTTGCCAGACCAATTTGCATTTTTAGCAAGAGAAAAGCCTTCCATGTACTCACATAACAATTCCTGGCATCATTTGTTAACCTGCTGACCACTTGGAGGTCAGCGGGAGCAGTGGATTTGTGTGGCCCCAGAGTAACCATCTCAGTCCTTCAGGGTGTAGAGAAGTAGGAGTCCTGTGAGAGTCAGACTATGTGGAGTCATTTAAACTGTAATTGTAAATTACCTCCAAAAAAGGGCAGGTAGGTATTGGTGGTAGAGACATGAGGACTCTTCACTTGAAAATATTTTTTATTCTTTTGTCATCTGTTCTGACCCTTTCCCCTCCCTCTGTGTTTTGTAGGAAACCGGGTCTTTTGAAGAATCTACCGATGAGTCTGAGGTAAGGTGGTGGTGGTTCAGGAGCTTGGGGTTTTCTAGCTAATCACGTTATCATCGTGAACTTGTTTTGCCTTGCTAAAATGCAGCATTCCCAAGGCTGGGTGGTAAAGTAGGGCCATAGAGGATTGTGCCTTGAGGAAGAACATGCTAGTTGTCTTTAAAACTATAAAATAGATCAGCTTAAAAATAAACAGGGAAAGAATCAAAAAATTTTCTCTTCATCTTGAACAATATTTTAACCTGAAGCAGTAGGAAAATTGATGCAAAATTTTACAAATTAATCTTGATATTAAAGAAAAAAATCCATTGTAAGTTCAATATTTATTCTTTCATCATTCTTTTAATAAATATGGCATGCTCATTGATATAATTTCTGAATCATTGAAATTATAGTGTATTTCATAAAATCAAAAGGAGGTAATTACCTTAAAAGTTGTCGGGAGCTAAGTTGTATTAAAGACTGTATTTTAAGGAGAAAAAAATAATGTATAAGGAAAGGCTTTTTAAAAAATTCTTTTTCAAGACTATGCAGAAGAAATGTTTAAGCATAATGCAGATTAATTAGCTTACTATTTTATAGATGGACTAAAAATAATTATATTTTTTCCTTTTAATATTTAGCTCAGAGGAATATAAATGTATCTATGGTAACCTGCTAGAAATCCATAGCAAAATGATTGCAATTTTTATAGTCTATTAAACTTGGGTTGATATTGCATATAGTTATTATATGAATTTTGTTTGCTTTGTCAGGGCAAATGTGGGCTTATACACTTACTCTAGAGAACATCTTACATATTGTACCATCATACATTTGTAGTTTGACTAGTCATGGTTCCTAACATTTTCACTACTAAGGACCTCTGATACTCTTTTTAGGGCTCCTAGTAATGCATTACTGAGTTTGCTTATAGCTAGGATATAATATTTGTCAATTTTAAATAAAATATTGAAAAGTATTTCAGGTCACCATTCTTATTTTTGAATATCTCTAGTTTACTGAGAACCCTGTGTCTTCAGAAACACTGGTACAGAGTCCTGCAGTGTTAGAGCCCTGTGTAGGTATTTTATTTCAGAGGTGAGGAGGATGTTGACAGCCACCTAAATCTAAATCTTTCTGCACATCTTTCAGCTGCTAAATGGATCCACAGGAGAGCAAACAAAAGCACACATACCCCATGCTTCCAGCATAATTAGGAAGCAGGGAGTAATATAAACTTCAGTATAAGTGGAGAAATAAATATCTGAAACCAGCAGAGCCAGCTCTAGATTGATCGTGGAGCTGAGTGAGTTAGACAGAGACTGGATGGAAATGAAGAGGGTCCAGCTGAGCCTTAGAGGTGGCAGAATACAGATGAAAAATGACCTTGAGGATGGAGAGGGCTCCACCCTGAGTGGAGAAGTAGTGCATGTCAGGGATCTGGTGGATCTGAGCCCTGGCTATTGGGGAATTTAAAGGAGTGGACATGAAAGTGTGTGGAACCAGAGGTGACAGTGTTAGGATGAGACTTCTTCTAAAGAGGAGGGGGAGGCATCCCCTGGAGGCCTGGTGGTGAAGAGAAAAGTGAAAAGCAGGAGAAATTAAGGGTGCCCAGAAATTAAAGAATAGCATAAAAACAGGAGACTGACTTCTGCATATCTCTCTCCCTCGAGCCCCCACCATTCTACTTTCCCCTCCCCCTCCTCCAGCCCCTCAAAATGCCACTAGTTAAAGAAAATGCACTTTATTTGCCAATGTAACTGAGAGACCTAGTAAATTACCCAAGTACTTTGCCCCCTCCATAGGATCACCATTGTTGCTATCCAGGAAAATCTAAGACATTTAAAAATAAACTAAAGATAAAAGGATTAAGATATACAAATTACCAGTTATAAAAATAGTCACTGGGATATAATGGATGACATAGGGAATATAGTTAATAATGTAACTATATGTGGTGTCAGATGGGTACTAGACTTATCAGGGCGATAGTTCATAAGTTATATAAATGTCTAATCACTATGTTGTACACTTGAACTAATATAATATTGTAGGTCAACTGTAACAAAATTTTTTTTTTTAATTTAAAAAGAAATAAAAATGAACTGAAACACCAGATAGCATTCCTACAAAACTATTATAGAAAAAAAACAATGTGAGAATTAAAAATTTTTAGCTGAAGAAAACACTGACATAATATTTCATCATAAGTCTTTAAACAACATTCGCAGATGTCAAAAGCTATCTTAAACCAGAGCCAACCTGGTGCTCTAACCTGAGGGCTTGGAGAGATTCCCCACTAGCTCTAGGAAAGTAGCTGCTCTCCCAGATATTACTGATTCTAGTGTGTTTCTGGACCAGCAAAATAGTCAAGCTGCTGATGGACCAACTTTAGGCTTTTAAACATAGTGAGTTAGTTTGCAGTCCAATCTTGGAAAAGTTTGTCTTGGATTTCTTCCTCAGTTTAAATCATTTTCCAGTTCCAGGATTGATATTGTCAGATACCTCTTGATTGCCAAAGAGTGTTTATTTTTCCTTTTCTTCCTCAGTCTCTTCTTCCATTGGATTTTGTAACTTAATTAAGCTTTCGCAAGTTGGGAACTTCCTTTGTATACTTACATCTCTCCTTTATTCAAGTGCTCAGATAATTTCCATTTCTATGAACAATGATACTTAATACTTTCAACCATGTATTATAATTTATTTGTCACTTTATGAAATGCTACACTTCATATAGACTGCACTTTTTATATCAGGAAGACCATAGTTTTAGGTTATTCTGAAGTGATTTAAATTTTTTTATAATTTATTTTTAATTTTTTTAATTGTAAAATAAACATAACATGAAATATGCCATCTTAACAACCATTTTTAAGTGTACAGTTCAGTGTTATTAAGTATATTCACATTGTTGAACAGCCTATTTCCAGAACTTTTTCATCTTGCAAAACTGAAACTTTACACCCATTAATAACAGCTCCCCATTCTCCTTCCTGCTAGTCCCTGGCAACTACCATTCTACTTTCTGTCTCTATGAATTTGACTAGGTACCTCATACAAATGTAATCATACAATATTTCTCTTTTTGTGTCTAGCTTATTTCATTTAGTATAGTATCCTCAAGATTTATTTTGTTGCATGTTTCAGATTTCCTTCCTTTTAAAGGCTGAATAATATTCCATTGTATGTACATTTTGTTTATCCATCGATGGACACTTAGATTGCTTCCAACTACTGTGGAAGCAATAGGTACAGTGAACAATCCTGTAGTGAACATGGTTGTACAAATATCTCTTTGAAAAAACTGCTTTATTTCTTTTGGATATATACCCAGAAGTAAATATTTAGATCACATGGTAATTCAATTTTTAATTTTTTGAGAAACCATCATACTGTTTTCCATATAGGCTGCACTATTTTATGTTCCCACTAACAGTGCACAAGGGTTCTAATTTCCGCTGCCAACACTTTCTTTTTTTAATAGTAGCCATCTTGACAACTGTGAGGTGATTTCTTATTGTTTTTTTTTTTAAATGTAAAACAGCTTTATTGAGGTTTAATTCACATACTATACAATTCACTGATTTAAAATGTACAGTTCAACAGTATTTAGTATATTCACAGAGTTGTGCAGCTATCACCAAAATCAACTTTAGAACATTTTCATCATCCCAAAGAGAAATCCTATATCTGTTAGCAGTCATACTCCCATTTTTCCCCAAACTTCCCAGCCCTATGAAACTAATATGGATTTGCCTATTCAGGACATTTCAAATAAGTGAAATCACAATATGTGGCCTTCGTGTTTGGCTTTTATCACTCAGCATAATGTTTTTAAGATTCATCCATGCTGTGGAATGGATTGAACCTTCATTTCTTTTTGTTGCCAGATATCCGATTGTCTGGATATACCACATTTTATCAGTTCATTAGTTGATGGATGTTTGGGTTGTTTCCGCTTTGGGGCTATTATGAATAATGCTGCTACGAACATTCATGTACAACTTTTTGTGTGGACATATGTTTTCTATTCTTTTGAGTATATACCTAGTAGAGGAATTACTGGTTCATATAGTAACTCTATGTTTAACCTTTTGAGAAACTTCCAGACCGTTTTCTAAAATGGCTGCACCAATTTACTGTCACCAACAATAACTGTATAAGAGTTCGAAGTTTTTCACATTCTCACCAGTGTTTGTTATTTTATTTTATTTTGTTTAGAGCTGTCTTAGTTACAGCTGTCTTAATGGATGTGAAACAATATCTTATTGTGATTTCATTTTGCATTTTCCTGATAATTAATGATGTTGAGTATTTTTTTATGTGCTTACTAGCCATTTGTAATTTTTTTTTTTGAAAAAAATTCCTATTCAGGTGCTTTATCCTTTTTAAATTGGATTATTTGTCTTTCTGTTATTGAGTAGTAAGAGTACTTTGTATATTCTATACAGGTCCCTTACCAGATATATGATTTGCAAAGATTTCCTCTTATTCTGTGGGTTTTCTTTTCACTTTATTTAAATAACTTTTTAAAAACATTTTGTTTTATTATTAGTTTCAAGTATACAGTACACTGGTTAGACATTTATATAGTTTATGAAATGATCCCCTTGATTACTTTATCACCCCTCTGGCTCTACACATAGCCATTACATTACTGCTGACTGCATTCCCTATGCTGTGCTCCCCATCTTTAACCCTTCACCCCTTTCTCCCAGCCCCTTAACTGCCATCTCCTTTGGCCATCACCAGATTGTCCTCTGTTTTCAATTTTTTTTTGTGGGTCTATTTTCAATTAGTTTGTTCTTTTTATTCCTTAGATTCTGCATATAAGTGAAGTCATATGGTATTTGCCTTTCTTTGAGTTATTTCGCTCAGGGTAATAACCTCTTGGTCCCTTTCATTCAACTTAATAACCTCTAGATTCATCCTTGTCATTGCAAATGATAGGATTTTTTTAAAGGTTGAGTAATATTCTGTTGTATATATGAACCATAACTTCTTTATCCAGTTGTCTGTTG